ATACTTGGGTCTTCGTGCTGAGACCATTTGCTCATCAGCGCGACAGACCGGCAGGAGCTACTCACATCTGATGCCTGTCTTTTGCCTCATTGCTGAAACCGGCTATTAGGCTTTATCCAATGGCGTGATGATGGACATGCCGTGTCTTAAGACGCACATACTAGTAAGAAAGAGTCCGGACTGTTCGGGAAGCTTTTGCCTCATCCGATGTTCGGCAGTGGGAGGAATATCTGGCATGACACCGTTACATTGCTGCCCCCCCCCCCCCCCCCCCCCCTCACCACCACCACCAGCGCGCTTTTTTTGTGTTTCGGCGGCAGAGATTACAAGTCGACGGCGACAGCCAGTTGGTTGGGGTTTGGGTTTGGGGCTAGTGTGAACGGGTGGGTAGGCCGAGTGATATGTGTGTGTGTGTGTCAGTGAGGCCGGCGATTTGATCTGATTATCGTTGGTGGTACTCATTTTTCGGTGGTGTCTGGCAGTCGGCAGATGTAGAGTTTCTGCGGTTGAGTTTGGGTTTGGATTTGGCTTGCGTGTTCCGCCCGCGTTCCTCGTCTTATCATCCTTGTGCGCTCTCCCTGCCCCCCACAAACGCTGGGGTTTGTTTCGTCTGCCGGTGAGGCAAAGGTACGTAGCTATGGACGTTGTGGACGTTGTGCGACTGGCGACAGTGAAGCTTGGAACGTCTACGACTAGATACCAGAGGCTGTAGGCTGGGTTGGGGGAGAGGGCAGAGATGTGATGAGGTGCTCTGCCGGCCCTGAGTGTTTCTAGAGGACGAGAGCCGCTTTCCCCTTTCCCCTTGCGAGGCTCTCCCGAACAGGGGGGTTGGCTGTATCAGATGGCGGATATGACGGTGTCGTTGGCGGCTGTGGGCTGATTTCCAGGCCGCCTCAGTGCCGAGCCTGGGAGGATGAGGAGCGGCGGGGATCGACGGCGTCGGGTTGGGAGCGGCACAGATTCTCCTTGGCCCCCCGGTTCCAGTCTGCCGGGCCCGGGGGTCGACACTGGACTAGTCAGCCTGGATGAGGGAAGACGAGGGTTCCGGCGGCCCTTTTTTTCCGGGGCAACCCCCGTCAAGTACGTGTGAAGTTGACGAACCTCAAAAGGAATAGTTGGTGGCATGGAGTGGTGGAACCTATATCGAATAGTCCGTAAGATGCCGCTTAAATAGGACGTCTCGAGAAACGAATTTCCGACTGCGGACGGTAACGTTCGTGCTATGAACTCTCTTACGTGGGACCGTAGGGTGTGATTTGCCACATCTGCGGATGTGTGTGCAGGCAGGCCGAACTCTGTAGGGTAATAAGAGCCGGGGGGGCAAGTAAACCTTCTCCGTGGGTAAGGAGTATACTGGTAGGTAGTTCATCCATCGGTTGGCATTTTTGGACCTTCCAGCAAACCCATCCGGGCCAACCAGAAGGGCTTCTTGTTGAGGCTGGGAAATACAGCCCGAGCTGGAGCAATGCTTTATCGCGAAGCCTGTTTGTTGTGGCAGCTGCAGACAGGCTTCATCTTATTCCTGATGGCCAAAGCCTAAACGCAACAGCCTGTATTGGCCGACATGGAGATCTGGTTGGCGGCCCTGAACCAGGTAGATGGAGTGAAGAGGTCGAATCTTTGGACCGTCATGTACTTTTATCGGTTCACGCTTTGTTCAATACAAGCGAGTATCTCTTTGCAGTAGTCGTAACGATTGGATGGGTACCTCAGAAGAGCAGGCCACAATCTATCAAATCCAGACATCAAACATGGCCGAACGCCATTGTATTGCCCTCCTCGGCCACCTTGACCTTACCTGCCTTCATGTTTCCATTATACAGCGACGGTCTCCAGCCCAACCACAACCCTAGGCCCGACCTCATTCCTTCCTGGTGTTTCTCCTGAGCCGGCAGCTGCGGCGGCGGCTGCGGCGGTTTTCGGATCGTAAGCCGCCTCTTCCTGCTCGGCCTCACCTCTGTCGCAGGTATGGCGACCGCCGGCGGAGGCCTGCCCCCGCTCCTGTCGTTCATGAACCGGCGGAACGGCCACGCGAGGGCGGCGAGGGAGTGCCTCGCGAGCGAGTACCCCGCCCGTGTCTGCAGGAGGATGAGGGCCAGGATGAAGGGTACGCAGACACAGACCATGGTCACTGCGAACCGCCAGTCTTTGGGGGAGATTGTGAATTCCGTAATGCCGAAGACGGACTGATGTGTTTATGTTAGATTGTGGACGGAGACGGATCATAAATGAGGGGGGGGGGGGGGGGGGGGCAAAAGGGTGGGGGCTACTTACAGTCACAAACGTCAGGGGGAGGAACACCATGGACCCAAGAGTCAGCACCTTGATGTTGTCGCCCTGCTCGATCGCCCTCCTCGACTCCTTGATCGAGCTCCCGCTGAAGAGCTGGTCCCTCAGGCTCTCAATCTCCTTGCGCGTCGCAGCGTTCTTGGCGTGCACCGTCTCCAGGTCCCGGCACGCCCTCTCCAGGTCCGACCGCAGCGGCGCCATCTTGTCCCGGTACGCCCGGCCCTCAGGGCTGTCTGGCGACGGGTGCGGCCACAGCGTCTGGTGCCGGCCCTCCCAGAAGTCGTCGGGAAAGGTGTCCCGGTAAGCGGCGAGCATGGCGCGCAGGCCCTCGTTGACGACGCCTAGCGTGTTGTAGGCCCAGAAGTACCGTCGGATATAGGTAAATTCTTTATCTTCGAATAGTAGTTTGTCACGCAGCCTGGCGTCGAACATGAAGTCCGTGGGCGGGGTGATGAGCTTCGCAATGCGGGCGTGGAGGGCGAGGTTCCTCTTCGTCGCGTCGCGGTACTCGGTCACCAGGGCGTCCAGGAACGCGTACGGCCCCGAGGGAAAGTTCTTGCGCGCCTCGGCGTCGCCGCCCCGGAGGGTGTGCTCGTCATCCGGGAAGGACTGGATCGAGAGGAGGTGCCACGGCGCAAAGGTATCGAAGAGGAACCCTTCTTGCGGGCCCTCGCGACGGCGGGTCTGCTTCACGGACTGGCGCGGGGGGCCCGAAAGCGAGAGAGCGAGGATGGAGCTGCACTCGGCGATGTCGATGTGGTCCCGCGCCCGGCGGTCGGCAGGGCGCTTGTCGTACTTCTGGTAGGGGGCGGGCTCGAGGCCGTCGCCGACGATGGTGTAGTACTTGAAGACGAAGAAGAAGCTGCGTTGGCGCAGGTGCCGCGGAGACGGGTCACGGGCGAAGGCGCGGTGGACGTGGGCGGTCGTCTTGCCGTTGTTACCGTGGCCCGTGATGAAGTGGTTGAAGAGCTCCGTCATGTCGAAGTAGGGGGCCATGGTCATGTGCAGCGCGCCGAGCATGAGGGGCGAAGGCTCTTGGATGATTGTCACGAGCCCGACGGCTTGGCCGTCCGCGTGGATGCCCTTGAGGGCGTTCCACACCGTCGGCGCATCGACGATCTGGCTCAGCGACAGGACTACGTCGGACGCAGCGCCTCGGCGCTGGTCGTCGAGCTGCTTGCCCACGGGGCGAGGGAAGCCTTCCTTATCAACATCATACAGCTCGAAAGTGGAACTGACATATCCCTGGCTTTCGTAGGCGGCAAAGCTTGCAAAGTCTGCGTTCTCGTCAATTTCGAGCTGTCGCTTGATCACGTCTGCCAGGCCAATAGCGGCGCCACCGGTGAAGTCGAAGTACTTGAGATGACGGAGGAGCTGGTTGTCCGTCCAAGCTACTCGTTTGATGAACTTTGAGACGGAGGGAGTGAGACTCCCGTCAGGGCTGGATGCGCCGCGGGGGACTGTGACGTCCAGCAAGGGGAGGTACTCGACGTCAAGCTCCGAGTGGATCGAGGCCGGAATATGTTTCGTCTCGGCATCGTTGGAAAGTGGTCGCTTCTCGATTTTTTCGGAAAGGGTCGAGCGACGGCTACGATGGGTGGGTGGCGGGAATGTGGCCTCGGTTGAGAATACCGGGCTCTGGAAAGGGCTCTGATACGGGCTGTGAGAGGGACGGGCCGATGGCGACAACGTGCCACTAGCTGTTCGTTGCTCTGATGTTTCTCGCACGGCGCTGGCTAGGGACTCGTGAAGGCTTCGTAAGCTGCGGAGGTATTGCTCGTGGCTTGCCTCGACGGCCCTGAGAAGCTCTTCGGGAGTCTGCGTTGACATGGTGAGCGAAATGCAAGAAGGTCCAGGGTTCAGGGCAATTATTGGAATTAGTTCAAGTGCAGCGGAAATCGTATTTAAGAAGTCTGGCCGAGCAAGAGAAATTGAAGAGACGTGAGGAAAACGGGCAGTCCGCCCCTTGGACAGCAGACCTTTTCTAATACTCACTCGCACAGCCCACAAGACAACTAGCAAGGCGACCAGCAGCAGGACACCGATACCGCTAGGCATTTTTGAAGGCCCATCCTCCTTCCGGAAGATTAGGTCAAATCAATCTTCCAATTCAAATGCGGCTGAGCTCGTCGGTATCAAAGTGCTAGACTTGAGCATGGGGGTCTCCGCGGGAGGCAATGAGGAGCGCGAAATGCAATGGCCCAACTAGGTCGATAGCTGATGGATAGCTGTCACTGATATGACTCCTCGGCAGCACGGAGAGGTGCGATGATCGGCCAACGACACCGAAACCAAGCTTTCGGCCACTTGGCTGAAGTAGTGAGCACGGATGCATCCCGCGTATGCACATCCGCACGCCCCGAATACGTTGTGACGCAGGGCAGCGGAGTGGGTGCAGGATTCCGGCGCGCAGGGCGTTGGACTAAAGGCGCCGAGACCAAGGTGGGATGAGGCGACCGGGTGAGCGAGAGGGGTCAGTGTCGGAGTTGACCGGCGATCACCGCCAAAGAGAGAGAAAGAAAATAAGGCTGTCGTGTACGTAGTGCCGGTCATCGGGGCGGCTTTGCGCGGCTCAGGACTTACGATGGCCGTGATGGCTGCCTTGGCAGTCGTAGATGGTGCTGCGCCACGCCGTTATTTTCGGAAAGTCAAGAAACGAGGAGGAGGGACGTTTTGGGTTGTAGTGTTGGGGTAGTTTAGCTAGTGGACGAGTCCGCCGCCGTTTGTTTGAAAATGTCTCAATCACACGATGCAAAGGAACGCGCTAGAGCGTATTGCGTTGCTTTGCCGTGTGGAGCTTTGCATGCCTCCGTTCTCCTTCACCGAGCAATGCTTTGGGTTAAGGCTCGGATTCTGAGGATACCTACCGTATCTTCCTCGCAGTCACACTTCCCAGTTGACGTCGTAAGGACCAGCGTCCACAGAAAAATGTATCATTTGCATCTAATTACAGAGACCAAGGCTATCTCGGCGGCACTTGGCTCGTCCTCTTTCTTCTCAGGCCACTTCATCTATACTCAATGGCTCGAATACCTTATGCAATCATCGTCCAGGTCGTATTCTTCGTGTAAACCGCCATCCTGCGCATATTCTTGTGGAATATTCTCCGAGGTTGGCAAAAACAATGGGGGTATGGGTAAAAGCGTCAAAACAACTGTCCAAGGTGGCATTCTAGTGGGAAGCGACCTCCGTGGCCTTGCTGGCCGAGTCGGCAGGCTTGTCGGCCGAGGTGTCAACGTCCATTGCATCGTCATCGACAGCCTCGCCCTCAACCTCCTCCTCCAGCTCGTCCTCGCTCTCGCCCTCAATGTCGACGCTGCCGTCGTCTGACATCTCGTCCTCCTCAACTGGGGCAGCCTCGCCCTCACCGTTCTCAACGCCTGCCATTTCGGCATCCTCACCAGCGGGCTTCTCGCCGTTGGCACCGCTGTCGAGAGCGACATCGGCCTCCTCTTCCTCACGTTCCTCAGCGCCATACTCTTCCTCATCGGCGACAAGGTCAGCCTCAGGCTGCTCAGGAGGGAACTCGGCGGGGGCGGAAGCCTCGTTGTCCCTGATCGGCATTTCGTTAGTTCAACTATTTCTTTCTGTTTTCCTCAATAATGTTTAACAACATACCACTTGATGGCGAAACGAGTCACACGGGGCTTCTCGGCAAGGACATTGCGCTTGACGCGCTCGATGATGGGCTTCGAAGGTGGCTCCGCGTTGAGTTCCTCCGAGTCGTATTCGTTGTTGACATAGTAACCGACGCGAACGAACTCGCGACCGTCGTAGGCGCAGGTCAGGAGGATCACAGTGACGCCGAGAATGTCGGCGTCGGGGATTCGGGACGTGTTAGGCGCATCGGCCTCGAAGATGAACTTGTTGACGCCGACAGGGACAGGTCCTACCAGCAGGCTGTCGAGCTCCTGGTCATACTGGTCGCTGTTTCAGGAAAGTTAGTGAAGGGCGGTGTATGCGAAAATTTCATTCAGACTGACCTGGTAGCCGAGCCAACGTAGGTCAACTTCCACTCAAGGTCTAGGAGAAATAATTGTCAGCCGGAAAAGAAACGTTCTAGTCAAGGCATTGCAAAAATAAAAAAAAGAAGAAGAAAAGGGTCGCATACCCTTCTCCAAGGACTCAAGACACTCAAAGGTGATCTCGAACTCGTACTTGTCCGTGAACTTGGCGGGGTTGTTCAGGACCTGAACACCCAAAAGCGAGACGATCGACATCGTGAAGAGTAGGCGGCAGCAACCTTGATCGGCTTGCGAAAAGGGGGATGGACGATGGATGGACAAAGTCACGTAGACCTTAGCGGCGAGAAGGTGAAATTGAAGTCGAGGGGGAAGAAGTTGGCCGGGATGGTGGGTTTGTATGGTGTTTTGGGGAGGCACAGAATTGTTTTGCTGTGGGCAGAGATGAAAGGAGATGGCTCCAGTATAGGCTCGTCAGTTGCGACGGGACAACGACGTGGACGGTGGAACATAGGACGCGCCTGCCTCCTGACCGCGAATTTCGCGTAAAGTGGAATACGCCCCTTGACGCTAGCCTCTTCGGGTCGTCGCGCGCAACAGCCTGACAAGGTCCCAGCCACACCACACTAACCTTGCTCTTACTGAGTCGCTGTTACTCGTCATTTCCTCCTCATTGCCTCATTGAACAACAACTTCAGATTTGGGCTTTTGAAGCTTAAGAGAAGCAGACGAGGAGAACACAGATCCATGTACATATCATGTTATCTTATTTCTCTACCATATGTCTTGAATTGCACAGCAACCTCTGAGCGTCCCAGTAACGAGCAGCATGTTGAACAAAACAAACTCTAATAAAGCCTTGCTGTCAAGCTCATTATGCAGCTACTGAGGACTGAAGATGCACACGCAGCTGATCTGACCTATATATTCAAGACCTTTGCAAAATTTCACACTCGATAAAGCTTTGTAAATTCAAGGATCAAGGACGAGCATAATGTTTATGGAATGGCACTATTGTTTATAACGAAAAAGCTTATTCGATGAGGTCTAAGTGAAGTGTCGGCCTCTTGCTCTCGATATTGGCTTATCTAATCTGACTCTCCACCTACAAGTGCCGGAATTTATCCAGGTGACCGCCAAACTACGCTAGCCTAACTTCGGTCCTTGCTCACCCTTCAATCTTTCACTCTGCCAGCTTTCAACCTTTCAGTTTTGCATCCATTGCTTTCCTTGTCAGCCTCCCCAGCTTCGCTGCCTCACCTCAGCCATCCGCGTCAATCGAGAGCAGCGATTTGGCCAGTTATACCGACGATTGTTCGCTTGGCGACCATCCACCCTCGATCCACGAGCCGATTTACGCCTTGTGCCCAGGACCAACAGCGCATTTGCGCTCTGGGCAATCCTATCAGCTCATAGCTCCTTCGACCTGTGCCTTTTCGCGAAGTCCATTGGGACTTCGATCAGTCGGCTGAAAGAAACCTCCCGTACTCCCCGTGTAGCTTTTCGACACGCTCATTGAGCCCGCCGGCGCAATGGATCCCGAACTCCCGCAGAGCGGCGAACACTTCGAGGGTGCGTCTTGGGGAGAAGAGGGATATGAAGAAGCAAATGATATACAGCATAGCGACCAACAAAGTCAAGATCCTTCCTTCCCACTTGCCCAAGCTGCGAATGGTGACTCAGAAGATGCTGGCGAATATGATCCAGAGTCGGTCACGATAACCTCAGTTCCAGAGACCCCAGAATCCAAGCCCCCAACCGATTCTACCCCCGCTCCTGCTCCTACCACGTCCACATCCGCGAAGCCGAAATCTGGCAAGCCTAAAACACAAGGGGGCTTCTTAGTGGGAGACTCTGACGATGAGGAGGATGTGTCCACTCCAGCTTCCACTACCGCTGTTGCTCCAGATGCAGCGCAACCCCCAGTCACACGGAACCACCCTCCCCTTACTGTATCTACCCCAGTCCAGACTCAAGTCAGCGCTACTCCAGAGCAGCCGAACAATGGGACTGCGGCAAGAGCGCCCAGTGCAGCATCCAGTGCCGCACATGCGCCTGCCCCTCCGACTGTGCAGCCTCTACCTAGCAGAGACCCCAATGACACCTTTGGCATTCTGGAGGATCGTGTGAAGGAGGATCCGCGGGGCGATATGGAAGCCTGGCTTGCGCTGATCGCCGAACACCGCCGCTACGACCAGCTAGACGAGCTCCGTGCAGTGTACGAGCGTTTCGTCCAAGTCTTTCCTCAAGCTGTAAGTCCAATATTTTAATCCGTCATTAGCAAGATCTACAGCTGACATATCAACAGGCAGATATCTGGGCAGATTGGGCCCAGCTTGAGCTGAGTTCCAACCGGTTCCAGGACGCCGAAGCGCTATTCAACCGTTCTCTGGTCAACGTACCGAACGTTAAGCTCTGGACAGTATACCTCAACTACATCCGCAGAAGATATGACCTCACAAACGATCCCAATGGTGAAGCTCGCCGAATCCTTAGCATGTCATACGACTTCGTGATTGGCTCGGTCGGCATCGATCGTGACTCGGGTCAATTGTGGAAGGACTACATTCAGTTCATCAAGAGTGGCCCAGGTCAGGTTGGAGGCAGCGGTTGGCAAGATCAGCAGAAGATGGATCAGCTGCGCAAGGCCTATCATCGCGCCATCACGGTTCCCATGTCCGCACTCACGGACTTGTGGAAGGACTATGATCAGTTCGAGATGAGCCTCAACAAGACAACTGTAAGTCCCCTCTGGACATAGCTAGATGGCGAAACTAACAACTACCAACAGGGTCGCCAGTTCATCCAGAAGCGCTCGCCGGCATACATGACAGCTAAGGCAGCGAATTCCCAGCTTGACCGCCTGATTCCTAGACTTCAGCGAACGTCTCTTCCACGACTTCCCCCTGCTCCTGGCTTTGATGGTGACCAGGAGTTTCTGGAACAGGTTGAGATCTGGAAGAAGTGGATTCAGTGGGAAAAGGACGACCCGTTGGTTCTTCTCGACGAGGAACCCGAAGCCTACAAAGCACGTATTTTATACTGCTACAGGCAAGCTTTGATGGCCCTTCGATTCTGGCCTGAGATGTGGGTTGATGCTGCGGAGTGGTGTTTCGCCAATAACATCACCAAGGACGGCAAAGAGCTAGGCCTTTCTTTCCTGACTGACGGCATTGAGGCCAACCCTGAGAGCGTTTTGCTGGCGCTGAAGCATGGCGATCGCGTGGAGTCGACTTATCCAGCAGGAGATGACGAAGCGAGCAAGGCTGCCCGCGCGAAGGCAATTCGTGAGCCTTACAGCCGGGTTCTCGACACGTTGTACGCCATGTCCAAGAAGATCAAGGAACGGGAGGAGCGGGAGGTTCGCAAGATTGAGGAAGCTGCGGCACGCGACCCGAATGTCAAAGATTCGATCGAAAACAACGACGAGGAACCCGATAGTGAAAACAACAGACCAGCCGATCTCGGAAGAGAGGAGCGTATCAAGGCTGTCAAGCACGGCTTTTCGGTACAAGCGGACATGCTCAAACGTACTATTTCATTCGTGTGGATTGCGCTTTGCCGAGCTGCGCGGAGAACACAAGGCAAAGGCAACACGAACTCAGGTCTCAGACAGGTATTCATCGAGGCTCGTGGTCGGGGCCAACTGACCAGTGATGTCTATATCGCTGTTGCCAAGATGGAGGCCCTCATCTACAATGACCCTGCCGGTGGTAAGATCTTCGATCGCGGTGCCAAGCTGTTTCCGGAAGACGCTAGCTTCATGTTGGAGTATCTCAAGTTCCTGCACTCGAAGGGCGATACAACAAGTAAGTGCCAATCTTTTAATTACTTTGCTTTGTGCTAACTCTTGCTTAGACGCTCGCGTGGTGTTTGAGACATGCGTCAACCGTCTCACACAGAAGGATGACAAGAAGGATCAGGCCAAGCAGTTGTATTCCTACTTTCACAAGTACGAATCGCAATTTGGCGAGCTTTCCTCTATTTCCGAGCTTGAGAAGCGCATGTCGGAGCTCTGGCCGGCTGACCCTAAACTAACACACTTTGCGAACCGTTTCTCGGTCGAGACATTTGATCCGATTTCTTATCGCCTCATCATCTCACCGGCTGTCCAACTGCGGCCGAAGATGTTGATCCCGGCTATTGAACAACCGAATTCAGTGCGACAGACTCCAATGCCACCGCTGCCGGTCCGTCAGACGGCCAGCCCAGGTCCTCAGTACATGGGCAACACGAATTCGCCTAAGAGACCGTTCGCGGGCGATGAGTACGAAGAACTCAACCGGCCGCGAAAGCTTGCCAGAGGAGAGTCGCCCCTGAAAGGTGCCGCTGGTCGCCGTCTCGACCAGCAGAGACGGAACCAAGGAGCGCCTCTTTCTCGAGATATCACCTTTTTGCTGGGTATTCTGCCCCCGGCTCACGCTTACGCGCATTCGCCCGGCGCATTCCGCCTGAGCGCCCCCAACCTCGTCGGTCTCCTAAGAGAGACCCCTGTGCCGGACTACAGCGCCTGGAAAGCACAGCAAGAGCTCGGTGCTCGACAAAACAACGGTATGCAGCCCCCTTCCCATGGCCAGCAGGCATCTGGTGATTACGCTGGGTACGGACACGGTGGGCGAAATTCGCCTCAGAGGGCTTTTAGTTCGCTTGATGGCAGGGGTCGGCGCTTGGCGCCTTCCGGATATCGGAACTCCCCTCTACGGCCTGGTTCCAGTGGCGGAAATCCCGAAGCAGCAGCATACCGACAGGATGCGACGCAGCAGGGATACTACCCGCCAGCGGCTCCGTACGATGGAAATACCTCCTGGGCACTACAGCCTGCCGGCTACTGTGAAGCACCGGCACAGCAATATGAGAAATACCAGTATTGATTTTGAAGAGCTGACAAATGGACATTCAGGGGCCGGTTTCCGAAGGGGTTGGGCTTAAGAGTGAAGTTCGATACCAGAACTCACTGATTCCCCCTCATATACCACTTTCTTCTTCCAGTCATTTACCTTTGGGAGGCCGGTCTACAAAGCAGAGTTCAACACACTATGCTTGGCCCCATCCCTCCCAACCGAACTGTTTTCTTGTTGGGCCATTGACTTCCTCATTTTGCGTTTGCGAACTCAAGGCAGGGCACTCTTTTGGTCTCTCCCATCTCCGAACGGACATGACCGGCAGTATTCTGTATAGTATCAAAAGTTAGGGGGTTCCGCATAGATGGGGCGTTTAGGTCGGGGGAAACTTTACACGTGCGGCCGTCATGGCAGTAACATACTTATTTTCATCGGCAAGAACATAGAGTTGCGTCAGTAGCTCACTAGCGGCATGCAAGACGATGGAGAGTGGACGAGCAGGCGGGTGGAGGCTTGTATGGAAGGCGTCGTGTACTTGCCTAGGTTAGCCAGAGGCTTGAGTACAAGAAGCAGACGATATTGAAATAAGTGCGTTTCGTGATATTTGACGATGCAGTGCCAATGGGGTCAACTACGTATTTCAGGCTGGCAGGATGTAGCTAGGCAGCTCCTCCGC